ATGCGGACGCCCATGGTTGCGCACCCTAACCACCAGGCCATGTCAAAGACAAACAAAAACAAAAATAATTCTTATGCATATATGCAAGCTAGTCTCCACCCACCTACAACTATTTTAACTACGCATACGAAAATCATAACCACCCAGTACAGTTCTAAAGACAACAACAACAGCAAAAAAACAGGCATTGGTAAAAACATGGTAAACACAAACAACACAAGACAGGGAACAATTTAAAACGCGTAAAATACAAATATTTTATACGACCTAATACTAAAAACACTATTAATATAATTTTATTCTTTTATGTTTCACTTGCATTTCACAATGTACAATGAACCGTTTCGTAACAGAAAAACGCACGAAAGATGGCGCATTATATCGAATTAAATAATTGAATCTCTTACCGTTTCAGTGTAACTAAAGTTCCTGTTAGTTTTTTACACCGTCTAAGCGCATTTTCCAGACGATCAGGCTCTTCGCTTAGAAATCTGAAAGAAGAAATAACAATGAAACTGAACTCCTTAGAAAGCGATTTTTCTTAGTATCATTTACCGTATACAAAGTAATAGTTCACAGAACTACATTATAAATAATATTAACGTGTTCTAGACTACTTTTTCTAAATTAATAAAGATGCATTTTTTTTTAATCCTGGCTTTCTGGACTCGCACAATCGCCTTTTTTTTAAGTGTATTTTTCGGCCATGTTCATGCGATTGTAAAAATAGAAACGACTAGCAGGATACAAAGTTATTTGTCTGCTTGTAAAACAAACGTGTCCGTAGTTGAGAGCCATTTGTTCGATCACTTTACTAGATTTTTTTTTTATATGGACAAATGGATTATTCTATGAAAAACAAAAATATCGGCAGGAAATACTCGTTGCAAAAGTAGTAATGATAGCAATGCGCAGATTATGACAACAACAACAAAAGGTAACATCTACATGTCCATCAGAAATCGGAAAATCTTAAAGAAACCCAGCTCTATCGAGTTTCATTAAATTTTAGCATTAATAATGTTTTTACCAAAGCACTACATGGTTGAGTACGTTATGTTATAACAGTTTTGAATAGGCAAATCAGCACATCACGCGACAACCGCAGCTGATATAAATTTGCAATAGAACGGCATGTATTACAACTACATTGTGACGTCATTTGGAGTGTAATAAATAGTGTGGCGCCACCGAAAATTGATCGCTTTTGATTAGGATATGTAACGTCCCTTTAAAATGTAAAACATTCAAACAGTCAGACCATAAAGATGTGTTCAGATCAAAGTTTTATAAACAGAGGAATGGGATCAACTTCGTGCACCAGAACCACCCACAAAGAAACCTATAACAAGTCGTACCTCAGCCGTGATAAACAAAGTGCAGCGTCTTGTAACAGGTTGGAATTCAATAATTGAAAGTTCAAGGTCCAGAAAATAGCACTTAATATAATCAAGTAGAATCTTAATCCGGAAACCAGGCCAACAGAGTTCTGTCCAATCTTTACATACGAAGACATATCAGTCAAGTCGCCGGAGGCAGCGCCTATGGATTTTGTGTGATTGGACTGTTGAAACTGTCGTCCTCGTACGTTAGATGAATTATGGGAAGCTATCAGGGAGAGGCGATGTGCTTTGAGCATGTCAGCTTTAAAATGGGAAATACGCTGCAGGACTATTGTTAAGAAGCAATGTCGTCAGATAGAATATGACTGCACGGCCGCTGCGACATGGACTGTAACGAAGTAGTTAGGTTGCAAAATCGTTCTGATATAACGCACTCAACCTTTTATACGGTTAGAGCATTATACTTCAATCATGACATCGCTGTATTTCTTCACGGGCTTAAAGAAAATGTTTGTTTGTTTGTTATGGATTTCGCGCAAAGCTACACGAGGGCTATCTGCGCTAGCCGTCCCTAATTTAGCAGTGTAATACTAGAGGGAAGGCAGCTAGTCATCACCACCCACCGCCAACTCTTGGGCTACTCTTTTACCAACGAATAGTGGGATTGACCGTCACATTATAACGCCCCCACGGTTGAAAGGGCGAGCATGTTTGGTGTGACATGGATTCGAACCCGCGACCCACATATTGCGAGTCGAGCGCCGTAACCACCTGGCCATGCCGGGCCTAAAGAAAATGAAATTCACATTCATTTCACATGTTTAGCAATATATAAATTACACTTGTGTTTTTTAAAATGTCACCAGTAGACTTTAGTGGGAGACATTTGAAAAATAGCGGACTATTGTATTATATGTATTTGTTCTATAATAATTTTTTTTTAAATTGTGCTTTATAAAGTCCTAGCAAGTCTGGTCTGAAAAACAAGAAACCTTAGTGAATATTTTTGCTTGAATTTTAACAGCAAAACTATCTTTATAATGGTTTGTTTGTTTTGTTTTTAATTATGCACAAAGCTACACAAGGGCTATCTGTGCTCTGCCCACCACGGGTATCGAAACCCGGTTTCTAGCGTTGTAAGTCCGCAGACATACCGCTGTGCCACTGGGGGGCCTTTATAATGGTAAATGTAAAAACAAAAAATGTCCTCAGGAAATAAAAGCAAAGCGATTAATACAACAATATACAACGTTATTGTTAAATTTTATGAAATGCCTTTGAATATCTGTTTAAAATTATGGATGCTTACGTAATTGTGATTCTATTCATCATTTCCACTTCAATATATTACAGTTATCTTATTTAATAATTTAATATCTTTTTCTTCACATAATAACGTATGGCTACACGGACCCATTTTAATTCCCAATTTCTGAAGGTTCTACATTCTGCTTGTTTCCAAAAGGTAATACGACATAACGTTAATATTGTTTTTCTAAATATCCTGATACAATTTAGGGTATGATGACGCACTTAACAAAATACACTTTTGAGCCAACTCCACAGTGTATTCATTAAATACAAGTTTCCGAGCTTATTTATGAGCTCTTCGTCACATGAGAGATAATGTGAATGTGAACATTATATAAAGTGCAATAATTAATCGTGCCATAACAGAAGAAAGTAGAACAGGGAACGCATTATACCGAATTAAATATGCAGAGAATTAAAAAAACACAAAAAACACGAGGAATTTAGATCTAACGAGGATCGAATTATTAGAAGTAAATATAATTAATTCATATATCGCAACACATATATTTATTTTGTTTGTTTATAGTTAAGCACAAAGCTACACAATGGGCTATCTGTGCTGTGCCCACCACTAGTATCGCAACCCGGTTTCTAGCGTTATAAGCCTTAAGACTTACCACTGAGCCACTGGGGGTGCGTATGATTAGAACTGACATAAATGCTAAGATAAAAAAAAATGTTATTCCATAATCTAATGATTGTGTTCTACCGCACTCGCGATAAATTTAAAGCCAGAATTTCTTGTTTTTGGTGTATATGTTATTCTTTATAACCCTATTTTATCGTTTTTGGCTCGCTCTATTTTACCCAGTTGGATTCCTTCTTTGCAACTAAACCGGTGTTCAGTAAAAACCAATTCTGCCTGATCATAAAAGGAAGTAAATAGGTGGTCTTTTGTATTCATTAATACGAACCTGAAGATATCTGCTGGTTCCCGCAACGAACTGCTTGTCAAGATTACATTTTATACTACAAGTAATATTTCATGGCTCAAGCTTAGATATCGGATATTTGTTGTTAGATAATCGTTTTTTAAGGTTTCGATATCTTCTACAAATACGTTGAAGTTTATGTCAAAGTTCTGGAAAAAAGGCAATACGGCGGATGGTGATTTATTATTGTTCTCTTATTTTAAATTAACAATTTTTGGTAATTCTTAAATGTTAGCAATGAATGAAGTTGGATAACCGTTTTAGTGAAAGCACTATGGAATGTGACGTAGTTTTTGCTCTGAGACTTTAAAGTCACAAAGAGAATCCCCGTCCCACCAAACATGCTAGCCCTTTCAGCTGTGGGGGCGTTATAATGTGACGGTCAATCCCACTATTCGTTGGTGAAAGAGTAGCCCAAGAGTTGGCGGTGGATGGTGATGACTAGCTGCCTTCCCTCTAGTCTTACACTGCTACATTAGGGACGGCTAGCGCAGATAGCACTCGTGTAGCTTTGCGCGAAACTCAAAACAAACAAACACAAAGAGAAGAGAGATGTGACAACATTTTTTTTAACTTATGCAGGACAACAAAAGTCGAACTTTAAATAGCGTTCTGTGTGCGTATTGGTTCTATATACATTTTTGTCACTAGTTGTTACTTGTCACCAGAATATCAAGGAGCTGAAATAGACTATAATTTTCCATTTCAGTTGTTGCTTGGATTGGCGGATGCTGATCGAACTTGAACCATGAATCAAAATTATAAAGATGTTGTCAACGTATCGTAACCATAAAGAAGGGCTCAGAAGAGACGTGGCAATGGCTCATTATAAAGAAGGGCTCAGAAGAGGCGTGGCAAAGGCTCATTATAAAGAAGGGCTCAGAAGAGGCGTGGCAAA